TATTAAATAAATTCTAACAACAGCTTATCAAGCTTAAACGTGCTGCTGTTGTTCAGCCGCTGGTTTCCTCTTTCTGGTGCAAAGTGGGCCAAAAACAAACAAGAGAGACGGACTCGCGACAGAAAAGCCGATCAGCTGATCATTGAAGTAGCAACAGGAGAGGGAGGGAGAGAATGAGGGGCAGTCGCTACATATATCCGTTGTTATTATGCTTAACGTGGGAATTCTTTACAGACATTCCAAAATGAACTTACACACTTGCTTTACTTCTCTCTGGGATCAATTTCTCGGAGATGAAATGCCGGTTTGGTAGCAAGGCTCCAGATGCTCAACCAGACAGAGGTCTTGCACGCCACAGCCGCTCTATCGCATGAGGCATACTGCTCCGACATGCTAAGGTTATGAGCTGAGTTACGCCATGTCACAAGTTTTGTGAAGTGCTTTCACTGTACTTACATGTTTCCGTCACTAAATTTCAGGGTTGTGCATTGTACATTTCACTGCATACATTTATTTCACAGCTAGAATTATATTGCTTATTAGTCATAAAGCCTAGATCAATGGAGAGCTCCAGTGATAGTTATCCATGTGGTCTTCTTCTTCTGTCCTTTAGTCAAAGTGATCATTAGGTCCTTGGTCATCTCTCTCACTATACCCCCCTGCTCAGTTTGGCAGGGTGACCAGCTCTCGGAAGGGTGCTTGTTGGGCTTGTTTTTTGCTCTCATATATATAATCAGTTGTGAAACCTTCTATAGGGAGCTGTGTGTCTTTCCAGATCGCATCCAATCAATTGAGTTTAGCACAGGTGGACTCTAATCAAGGTGTAGAAACATCTCAGCAATGATCAAGAGAAATGTGTCGCACATGATCTAATTAACAAGTGTTTTTGCCAAAGACTATGTAAATGTGATATTTCGGGGGAGGGATCTGAATGCTTTCTGAACACACTGTAAAATGAAAGCTGGAAACATTCAGACTTTAGTGTGATTCAGTGGTTCTCAAGCTTTTAACAGGCTTTGTCTCATAAAGAATCCCTCCCTACTCTGATGGGAATTTTTATTAATGTCTTTGACTGAGAAAATACATTTGAGGATTTTACTTTCAAGTACACACACACAAAAACAACTTGTAGCCCTCCCCACAAAGACAAACAGGTGTCGGAAACACAGACAGCTGATGTTCTGCCACAGGTGGTGCCTGACACAAACTGTGTGATTTACTGCTGGTCACTCTCTCTACTGCGGGTGTGTGTTTATGTGTGAGTGGACTGATGTGAGAGTTCATGCTGGTGTGGTAAAAACGCTGACTGCTGATCCCTGACGATTATTAATGTGCAAGTCAGCGAGATGCAAAATTGTCATCCTGTTGTCACCATTACAGATCCGCAGCCACAGCGAGTGTTTCTATTTTAACTGGTTGCTTGAATTTCAGCCATATGTGTGTGGGATATATCACATGTCCATCATCAAGTGAAGTCCTGTAAGCTACTGACACACAAAAGGGCTGAAAGAAGCTTATCAGAGGTGAGGCTGAATCAGTTAGTCCACAAAACTGAAAGGATTATTTCTTTATGTAGCTGAAGGAGATCCTCCTCCTCCCTGAATTGTATAAGTGCACAAACCACTCCTGTGTGTCGTTGTGGTTTTATAGCCGAAGAGAAAGACCTGACTCTATAGTTCTTGTAGACTGCAAGTACAAGGTGGCAAATCCCAAAACATAACAGATTACACATTCTATTATCCTCTTCTAGGACATCTAACAGCTTCCTAGAAATATCATTATCAAACTGTATGTAGTGGAAAGGACAAACAGACTTTTACCACAACATTAGAGGCAGCTATAGTTTGCAATGTTGCCTCTGAGATGCAGGTTCTTCGTGCTAAAAGCCTGTGTTTTGTCAGTCTGTTCATGAAGGGTCTTGTCGCTGTGTTCTTCTGTGAGGATGGAGTCCCCGTGGGTGCGTATGTGTCGAAACACTAGCACCATCCATCCTAAAATCCGAAATCAATACAAGTCATCCACTCGAGTGACTGAGCTGTGACTGACTCACCGATGATGAATGAACCATCAGCACAACGCCCACTCCTCACCAGCTCTGTTGTTGTGACATCTAACACAATGAAGCAGTAAATGTCATTAGATCTGAGGCAAATGAAGCATACTCTCACTGCAAACTGCTCAAAGGCAAAAGGGCACCATCCAAATCCTGATGCAAGCAGCCTGATCTGAACTCAGTTTTGTTGCATCAGTTTTCTTCTGCGCTCATTAGGTCTCTAAAGTTCACCCCAGATGCCAGTGAACTCTGTCTGCCATCTAGTGTGGAGACCATGAAATGATCTCCACAACATTACCAACATTCTGCCAGTGTTAAAAAACATCTTTGTATTTGGGTACTGTAATTCTTTTCCACACTTACTTCACTAAAATATTTTTCTAGTACCTTAGGTGCATTGGTACTTATTAGTCCTAATCCTCTGAGCTCTAAGACAGGGGTGGGGAACTCCAGGCTTAAAGGGCCGGTGTCTTGCAGGTTTTAGATGTGTCCTTTATCCAACATAGCTGATTTAAATGCCCAAATTACCTCTTCAACATGTCTTGAAGTTCTCCAGAGGCCTCATAATGAACTAATCATTTAAATCAGGTGTGTTGACCCACGGTTATATCTAAAACCTCCAGGACACTGGCCCTTGAGGCCTGGAGTTCCCCACCCCTGCTTTAAGACAGTAAGTCATAAATGGAACCCTAAATTTATAGGGAAAACGTGAGAAGATTTAGATGTGTTTCAGTTAAAATTATTATTTTCTTTGCTCCCTGGTTGTGAAGACATGAGAGAACAATTTCATAAAAACAAAAATTACATACTGTGATAGCCCTGGGTAAGAATTGGGGTTTCTTGGACCTCAGAGGATTCACAGTGACTGTTAAGGTTGTTTTTTTGTGTTAATTTGCAAACCATTGTTTTGTCATTCTTGGTCCATTTGCTACTTTGACTTTATTTCTTGTGTGTTTAGTTCCTTCGGGGTTTCCATGTTGCTTCCTATATCCTTTGCCTTCCTCTGTTTTCTTTTATCTGTCATCTTGTCAGTCTTTGTCTCAGTGCAGTTGTCTCTTTTTTCCCTGTTTGTTTCTCTGGGCATCAGTTTAGTTTCCTGAGTTTTGTTTTTTTATTTTGTTTTGGGGTTTTTTTGTTTTTGTTTTTGCTCTGCTTCAATTATAAGGTATTTTTCCTGCTGCTATGCTTTTGTTTTCTTAACTAATTAAGTTAAGAAAAAAACCTAACTGGTTCTTTGCCACTAATCTTAACAAATTAATAGCAAAGACTCAGAGATTCTATTTCATGTAGTTGGGTTCACTTCACACCCCAACTCTTTGACATTTATGTGACAATAGTGTGAAGGTGTAACCCTCTTTTTATGTGTTATGTGTAATGTGTAAATCAAAGAGTGCAGTCATGTGTAAATAATTTAGAAACTCTACTTAACTGATAAAAAGGAGTAGTGTTACATTAGTGCTCGTTTCTCGTTCCTGTCCTTTGTGTTTGTAATTAATATGTATCACTCTGGATGAAATTGTTCATTTCTTTAAAACTTTGTGTTGTGATTGTGATTTTCTCTTTTAATTTAACAGCCACATTTAAAATGATCACATATGTTTAAAATATAATAATAATTTCTCATTTTCAACATATAATATTTTTTACTTGAAATTTACATAATGAGCATGTCCTCATTTTTTTTCATTTCTTATTATTATTGTTATTTGTATTATTATTACTTAAGTACTTTACTTTGCTGCCGTTCAATATTCTAAATACTTGGGGTGTATGATTTTAAATTTTGATATACATATTTTGTTATTTTAGTCGTCTTTAACCACAACCACTTGGAGGCGACATAAAGGCATTCCCACGCTTTACAGCACAGTAACATTTCCGGGTCTGGGCCTGTGTACAATTTCAAAACAAAAGCAAAACAAACCATCCCCACTGCTCAGAAAAACGAGAGGCGTTACTGAACTAGTGTATGACATTCCATAAAGTGTACAGTGTAAATAAATGCACAAATAAATAAACAAATTAAAAACTGTTCTATATGACTCTGCGTAACTGCTTACTTTTGCTTTGTTGAATTCGAAATATCTATTTACTTTGTCATGTGTTATGTTATTACTTAAGTTTTCAAAAATTTAAGTGTATGCTGATTTTATTTGATTGCATTTAATGAAATTTCAGGTTTGTGCCTTATCAACAAACGTGTTTGCCTCTTATTGCCTTTTATACCATTCTGCTTAAATAAGCTATTTGTTATGTGTTTTCTTTTAACTTAATCTTTTTAAACCACTGTTTAAAAAAGGCTCATTGAGGAAGTATGTTATATCAATTTATTCATCTTGCATTTCAGGTCAGCCTATATCATGTGGCCGTATCTTGATGAAACATTAATTTTGAAGGCTTAAATTAAATGTAAATGTTTTAAAACTTTGTAATATTTCATTGCTAGAGCTGTTTATACATATATAATCATATCTTTCTGACTAAACTCACCCCAAGACACAAGAGTTAGGAGTTAGATGATTTCTATTAGTCTGCATTATTTTATTTTCTCTCTGCTCCATTAGTGACATTGATTTCCCTCAGTGTTGGATTTTTCTTTTCTATGGCCTGTGTTCACAGCACATAATTTTTTTGAAGGCCCTTATTTATTCAGAGGGAATTTTGCCACCTTCAGATGAATGAAATGACACGATCAAACAAACATACAGAGA